CAGCTCTGCTGTTTGACATGAACAGTAACAGAACATACCAGTGATGTCTAATGCTGAGGTGACTTGGTCGTCCATTTCTCCATTTCCTGACCTTCTCTTTCCCATTGTCCTAAATGACTTTATGTGTGTTGTGTGACCTGGATGTCCAAATCAGCCCACCGTGTTCCAGTTCCTCTTTTTTTTTTCTTTTTGTTTTTTGGATGTGAGTTGATGTTACCAAGGACAAATAACAGAGCGTCTTTTCCACAGAGCTGCCAATTGGAATGCAAAGCACACACCATTTATATAACATCTCTGCAGTGAGCTAGATAGTAGATTATTACAGTTACGTCGGTACAACATTCAACAGAAACGAACAAGAGTAATTCAGCATTGTGAAGTTGTTTCCTAAAGGAACAGATAACAGTCCCTGCTGCATCCAGGTGCCTGAGGGCTGGCCTGACGCTGCAGGGATGGATGTGGACATTCTTCGGCTGTGAAGGTTTTCCAGCTTCAAAAAAAAAAAAGAAAGAAATAAAAACAAAAAAAGAAAGGAAAACATCAAGACATCTCCCTTCATCTCTCACCAGGAGAGCAAGACAGAGAGAGAACTAAGGGAGAGCATTTCCTTTGTTACATTGAGATAGAAGTAAGTATTCCTTAACACTGCATATCATTCTTCTGACAGAGTCCATGATATTATTCACATTCAAACACGCTAAAACAAAAAAAACAAATAAACTGAAACAGCTCTGGTTTCCCTTATGATATGTATTTCCTAGCAGGGATGGAATGCAGATGGTTTTTTGTTATATGCTGCTGGGACCCAGAACCCATCACTGCCCTGAAGGGTCGTCTCGCTGGTTCGGATCTAATATGAGCAACAAAGTTGTTGAGGACAATATGTACGGGATGATGTTTGTGCCAAAAAGCAGAGTTACATTTGGTTTGAAAACAGGTGTTGAATTCACATTTGTATTTAAGGAACCAGATGACAGAATAATAATATTCATCATCTGCTGTTCCTGAAGTCAACAAGAAGCTCCCACAGTTCTGTTGTGTGTCCGACACCTTCATCCACTACTACTAATACAACAGACGTGACTTCCTCTGTAATGAGCAGTGAATGAAATTTGGGAAATATTTGGATCCATCCAAAAAAAATGTGCCACGGAAGCAACATTTGGTGAAATTCATTATATAAAGCATACATTTAAAATAATTTGGACACTCAGACAAAATGGCACAGCGTCAGTGTTGTGCAATAAGGAGTGATTTCAAATGTAGGCCGTCGGATGAAAACCAAAACGCAGACCATAACCTGTGGCGTGTGATGTGATGGTTTCTTGATGATTAAAAGCGACACTGAGGGATCTTGTTGCTGGCAAGCGAGAAACAGTTCCACACGTAACCTTGACAAAACCTACAGTAACCAAACCAAATTATAGGTTTGGTTTGAAGGTGGTGGTCGGCTAAATCCTGTCTTTATGCTGAGCTGTGTTAATGAGCTCAGAGCTGCAGTAACAGAAGACAGAACGGTATCGATTCTCTCATTTCACTACCAAGAAGAAAGCAAATGTTGGTGTTTTTTCAAAATGATAAGTTATTGCTTTTAGCTATTGCGTAAAAAAAATGCAGGTCACCTAAACAAATTCTATTTGCCAGATGAAGAAAACGTGACGAGATGCAAGCGAGCGAGTGCACCTTGAGAGAGCCTGTTGTCCAAACATTAACTTGATTAGACGAGACAAAAGGTTTTCAAAGATCATTTAAATTTCAAAGAATTTTGTTCTGCAAAATTCCAAATCAGACACAAAAGAGCACAGACTCGCCACCGCTGTCTGAAGTCTGCTTCAAGAACTGTCAGTGCAGGTTCATTTGGGTTCAATTTAAAACTCAATTTACAAAATTCAACACCTGCTGGCACAAACGTCTGAGATAATTGCTCGTTACTGCATTTATTTTGTGAAAGGACAGCGACAGTCATTCCAAAGCTGTTTAAATATCTATGTTTTCTAGGATCTATAACTTTTGTGCTTCATGAGTTTAAAGTTGAACTTGGTCTCGTTCTGTTGCTGCTGTTTGCCTTCATATTGTTCCGTTCCAGGACTACAGCTACCTTTCCAAGGTTGAGCGTGTTTAAGTGCTACAGTTAGTTTGTCCTTGTGCTGATCGTGAACAGCCGCTTGATATTACAGTGAATGGAGACATTATTCAGCCAGCGGGGACGGCGGGGTAGTGAGGGATCTGGGTCCTATAAGAGGATATAAGACAGTTTATATCTTATTGTTCGGTATCACATGTGACCTCGGCTGTGGAGAAAAGCAGCTTTCTAGGATCATCTTTTAATTTCAGCGAGACCACCTCATCGGATGTAAGACACACCATCCACTTCCCTGCCAATGAGATTAAGAGCTCAGTTGGATCGACTGTCCAAAGAGAAGCTTTACTTGACTGCACTTCTCAGGGGGGTGAAGGGTCATGAGGAATCTCCTTTTGCATCGTTAAATGTAGCTTACACTGTCAAGTCTGAAGAGCAAGGCGAACGTTTGGAGTGGATCCGCGGATCCTACCCCACCGTGTGCTTTCTACATTAGTGTACAATCGTCCCGACCCGTGCGGCTCGGTCATCAGTATGTTTTAAGGATTGCATTGCCCCCGTGTTTTACCGGTTCAAACAAGACACTTCTGAAAAGGAAGAGAAAAGCGGGTTGAGGAGCTCATCTCATAAGGCCATAACAGAGCCCATGTGCGGTTGGTAGTACATGCTGTTAGCAGTAGATACACACTCATTAGGCTGACATTCAGGCATTCATTTTTCAAAAGTCAACGCTGCTGAAGGCTGTGATCACACTGGAGGGTTGAGCACAAACACTGGCACTGCTAGCTGATGAAGAAAGCAAGAATTCCAATGGCACAAAGCAACGATAAGGGAAGAATAGTTTCACATAATGTGGGTCTTATTTTTCGATCATCACTAAAGTTGTACGTAAGCTTACAGGTGAGCTTGATTAGCTGCTGAGTTATTCGGTGGTAAAACTGCAATTGAGTGTTTCTGTAATGCAGCAAACATTCGGCTGATTTCCACTCGCAGGCCGTTTTATGGCCGCCTGAAACTTTAAGCATGTTCTGACCAAGATAACCAATTATGTAGAACCTCACTCAGGGCCGCTTCTGCAGGAGAAGAAGTTCCTGTCTCAGCGTAGGTTCCTCTGAGCAGCCCTGAAATACTGCTGTGTGGGTTTCAACACTTATCGGTTAAACTTGGAGAAGAAAGATGTAGACCGGTTAAACTCGGAGCAGCAGTCTTCTCTCTGACATCACCATCAACAACGTTCACCGTATAGTCTTACATGACAAACCTCTATCGTTCTATGTGTTCAGAGAACTGGAGGTACTTCCAGTAACTCCTATTTGTCATCGTTGTGGTACTCTGAGTTCATGTTGAAGCGTTTGGATGCGACACCATAACGGGCAGAAAGGCTGAAAGAACCTTGTGTCTGCCCCAAGTTCCTGAAGTGGACCAGCTGCCTAACAATTTTCATATATCTACTACTGTCACATTATTTTTCGTATCCTACCAGCTGTGCTTCTTGGGCCTCTGAGCTGCACTGAGTCAGTTAAAACTTCACCAGAACCGTCTCTGCTTTCTAAAGCAGAAGGCCAACCTGCCAGTCTGGAAACACAGATCCATGATATCCACTTCAAGGATTTATTCTTAGCTTCTTTGATGTTGTGCCAGCATCTGTATTCTCTGATAAGTTACTTTTTCTGGCAATGAGACTTTTTTTTGTATTTTTTTTCCCACTGAAGAAGGAAATCATGCTGGTGGGAATTAGATTAATAAATAGCAAGGAGACTAATGATCGACATCGTATCAGTGAACGAGTGAAAACCAGTAAAAAAAAAATGTACTTGATGCCTCAAGAGGAGATTTTTTTTTTTAAGGGGAAGCAAATAGTTTGAACTGAACAGATGTTATTGATAATAAAGTGCGACAGGGTTAACCTGAATCATGGGGAAGTATAAGGAAACAGGGAGAGGGGCTCTATGTGATCACAGCCTGCTGCAGAAAAATCTCTGGCATCTATCAGCAACCTAATTTCCCCAATCTGTTTGGACAGTGAGGTAAACTGATTTACTGAGGACATACATCCACCAAATGAGCTCATTTCATAGACTGGTTACTGAAAATCTAATCTGCTACGTCAGGTCTCGGCGGTTCATGTTAAGACTGGAAAGTGGAACAGAAGCGACTAGTCTGATGAGTGTGTATCGAAGGCTTCTGCTGTTGTGCTTCCCTCCTTTGAGGAAACAGTTGAACAGACTCGGCTGTCGATATGGAGAGAAGCTTTGCATTCTGGCGGTGTGGATGTACACTCATTCATGTAGAGACATGAACCAATAAGTGTTATAAAAGACAAAGACAGTTTTAAATATAGGAACAAATATAAAATATTAGACTTCCATAATGTCTATATGCAATAACATTCTAGATAACTTTTTGACGGACTTAGAATTAGTCCTGCTTTAAACCTTGATGTATCGCCTCAAAGATAATATTTAAGACAATGAAAAAAGCACCACAAAATTCATCATAGAAACAGAGACCTAACCATACAATGGTATGTACAATGTATGTATGCCAACAATACGAGAGATGGGAAGAGATGACGGAGAAAAAGAGAAAGAGAGAGAGAGAGAAACCACTTATCAAACTCCCGTCATGCAGATAAGAATTTACACAGGAGACCTGAGGAGTATCATCTCTGGCGGTTTGCGTGGGCCATGCCCTTCCTGTCACAGTCCCTGTCCCAGAGACACCACGCCAAATTAGAGCTCAATTCAGAATTATACACAAAGCACTGATCCTTTGAGGCCTCCGTGTTGACGTTTTTCTTTTTAAGGAGTGAATTTAGGGAATTTGGAGAGAAAACTAGGACGAGGATATAAAGATAACGTAATACCAAGCGAAGGAGTCGGGGTAGGGGGGGTTATAGGGGGTTGGCGCCTTGCCCGGCTGTTCTTTTTTGTGCAAAGGAATGTCAGAGAGAGTTTCAGAGGCACCCGCGGGCGCCTCCTAGGGCTCGTCGCTGGGTGACGTGGCCGGAGCCCCCTCGGTGTCCAAGGACTCCGGTGACTCCAGAGCGGTGGCGTCCTCGTTGGGACTGCCCTTGCTGCTGGGGCTGGCACCCGCCTCGGCTGAAGTGCTGCTGCTGCTGCTGCTGCTGCTGCTGCTGCTGCTGCTGCTGCTTTTGCTGCTGCTGCTGTTGCTACTGCTGCTGCTGCTGCTCTGGCCATCTTGGCCCTCTGAATTCTCCAGCATCTCCTGGATGAGTGGTGGCATGGAACCCGGGATCTCCATCTTCAGGGAGATGACCCGCTCTGCTCCTGCAAATTAGGTTTAAAATTGAAACATGAAATCTTAACCACTTACTGGCTTTCTTGGTTTTTAACCACCTCTCATGGTCTTCATCTCCTCCTCACACATGACCAAAGTCGATGACCAAAATCTCACACTGATGCAACAAAACTCCAGCAAGCAGACACTGAGTTATGATTTCCCTCATATATTTTAGTCGTAGTCATGAATGCAAAAGAGGCAGGTTTCACTGCTGTTTCCACAAGCTGTTCAGTGAAATAAACACGAGTTCTCTGGTTGGACAACTTTTGTAAAATAAAAATAATAAAATAGCTTTCAGTGGCCGGAGTCCCTCGATTCACTTTATGACCTTAATTGATTTTATGTGGCACAAAGCAGCTGCTTTAAAAGACACTAAACGGGAGAAAATAAAGGCAAAGAATAAAATCCAGAATCTACAATACTTAAAGGATTGGAAGACAAATAAAAGCAGCACAAACAGTAAAAGCACCAGTAAGAACATAAGCTGGTAAAGCAACCAGATAGACCTGTGTAACATCACAGAAAGGCAGATTTAAAGGACGGGCTTTAAAGACAGATCCACAGGAGGTGAAGTGGAGGGAAGTCTCCAGTAACTTCTTCAGGCAGGTCATTGGGAAGTCGAGGGGTACAGATGTGCAAAAGGTTCCAGAGAGGCGCTTGAGGATCTCTAAGTAGACACAGGCTCATACGGCGTTAAAGGCTCAGCGCTATAGCCAAGTTCAGAATGTGCATTAAAAGTTAGCAACAGCAAGGTCAAGCAAGCAAATAGTTTTACAGGAAGCTGGAATAGGGAAGGTTGAGGCTTCACTCATTGTAGTCTTTCCTGCTCTGTCAGACAATTCTTGTTTAGATTCCCAAACAGATCACTGACATGAATGATGGTGGACAAAAGCTTCTATACATATTTAAATTGGGAGTCTAGAAAAACATGATGGCAGTTCCCAAAATCAGAGACATCTGAAAAAGGTTGAAACTTTTTCAAAATGTTCTGAACTGCTTTTGCTCTGTGGGAGCTTTGTGGCCTACACTCTGGAGCTTCCTCTACCCTCAACCAAACAAGCACACCTCTGTTGAGCTTTTCTGCTGTATTCTACCAGCAGGGACGGGTCAGACAACTGCCACTGAGAAGGTGACACAAGCGACTATCTTGTGAAAACCCGCCTCCTCCCCTCTGGAATGGAAGTACATGGAATTTGATTTAGTACCATCTCCTGAAGATGGACAAAGTTTAGGCTCCTGCAACTTGCCGTTCCAGCTACAAGTTCAGTCATTCAAGTTTTTCATGACATGGAAATCTGGGAGAAATTCCATTCGAACCAATTAAGGCAGAACTTGGTTTCACTGGAGTTGCATCAAAGCACCAAATGCCATTTTTGTGTGTTTTATTCTTATTCTTTATTTTCATTTATCCTCTTAATATTATTTCGGTGTGGAACAGGCATGCAAAGCATTACCCTGCGCGTTATACCATGTACAACTGTGTTTGTGACCAATAAAGGCCTTGAATCCTTGAATCCTTGAATATATAAATACACAACAAGGAGGTTGTAAATGGACATTTGTGTATCCTGTACTGATACAGATGTGTAAAAGCCAAATGTTTGTCTGCAAACTGGTTGTATGTGTGAGAGTTTACTCATCTGGTTCCACCTTAATGGAGAAGCAGTGGAAAAGGACTTCATATTGAAAATGTATTAGTGTGAACGTAGCTTGAATTTTGGATCATGGGGTAAAGATTCCAGGTCGGAGGTTCCGTTTACAACAGATGCTTTACAGCAAGGCTTCTAGAACCTCAGATTTCGTGAGAGCTAATGTCAAGCACCTTTCCCAGAGGTTGAAGTTCCTCCAGCACGTTGTGAATTGCATTTCAACAGAAGGACCAAGACCCTGAGAAGAAGAAGTCCTTGACATAAAGATGGCATCAAACGCCCTCTGACTGTCATCATCTACACAAATGGACAACAAGCCTTTGTTGACTTTGTTGTTGCTCCATCAGTCATAAACTCTCTTGGGCTGTTGGCCACCAAGTAAAAGCACAAGAACACGTGGATGGAGCACAGGTATCTAAAAAAGTCAAGTCTCAAGTACTTCAACTTTCTGAGACCACGAGGCTCCAAGCATGACATTTTGGAGGGTATTTTCTGGAACCTACTTCAGACTCTGGTTCCCTCAGGCCAAACACACCCAATCAGCAGCAACATGTAGACATTTCGTGTTTGAGTCCATATATGAGACCAACCAATCCTCACACCTGCAGCAGAACTTTTCTGCTCCTTTACAAAACAATATCAGTAAAAGAAATCTCTGAATGTGACTGTATGTTGATCTCCTTCCTACCTTTAGCGCTGATACTTCGAAGGTCTGTGATCTTCATCAGGGTTTTGGGGAACATGTGCGGTTTGCTGGGCCGACGCTTCCTCACGTAGATCTTCAGAGCTTCCAGCAGAGGCTCCTGAAGCTGGTCCACCTTAGAGGGCTCCTCCAGGTCCTGACGGTCTGACACACACATACATATACACACAAGTCAAGTCAGACTCCAGCAGGGTTAGTTATGACAAATCCATGCCTCAGCTTTATCTGATGTAGACGAGCTGGAGGCTAATACATGTAGCACAGCGTGAAGCCTGGTCTGATTAAGAAAGAAGAGTTTATCTCATTATGTCAGCTCATTCGCTGCAGAGGAGAGATTGCAAGAGATAGCTACAATTAGATAACTTAGCCGAAAACTTATTTGAATCCTTTTGTTTGGATAAGTGCTGTTCAGTCCTGATAAGTGTGAAAATCACACAGCAGGGAGGCAACAACAGAACGCATTAGAACAGATCAGCAGATGTGGTGTTCAAAGCTGTGCATCTATTCAGACACAGCGGTCAAATACACCAGCGGCTCTGCTCTCCAAAGAAAGACACTGGCTCAAATCTGCCATCAAAACATGTTTTGGACTTTCAGTTCCCTTTGACCTCTGTTTTTATTTGGCTTATTTGGCTTCATGGAGCACAGCTGGTAGAGCAGCTAGTCCACTAATCATAAGGTTGCCGGTTCGATCCCCAGCCCCTCCATGTGCCAGAGTGTCCCTTTGCAAGTTGCTCCCAATGGTGGGTGAGTACTTTGCAAAGCAGTTCTGTCGCCATCGGTGTGTGAGTGTGAAAGAGAAACACGTTATACAAACTAGGTAAAGTTAAAAAGATGGAATATAAGTGTGACCATTCACCATGTACTTTATTATATATCATATATATCCAGTCACAGTAAATATTTAGAAGATCTACCTCGACTCTATCTGCACCCGGTCATGCAACTCTAGCTAACTGTTACAGATGATAGTTTTGCATTTTAAAAATTGTGATGAATCGAATAATTTTGACTTTGAAATATTCTAACCATGGAGGGAATATAATGTTCAAAAAACAACTTCAAGAAATCTTCAATAATATCGTGATATTTGTTTTTTAACCTGCAATGTAATCTCTGGCTGGATTATACTCAGAGGTAACATTTTGTTTGTAATGAGTGAAGCACTACATGTATGAAGTGTTAGAGTCAGCAGGAGGTGGTTGGGGTGGATGGTGGGTGCACAAAGCCCACAGCGCTCACAGCAGAAACCAGGGTCCACATCTGGGGCTACTGTCTGTGGTTTAGGCCGCAAAAGCATTTTAGTTAAAGTTAGTTAAACTCAGGCAGTGATAACATGGTGAGATGAAGATGGCTATAGTTTTAAGAGCCAGATGCTGCAGTTGCTCCCTACCAACTGTACAACCTCAGGGCATGATGGGAAATATGTGGTTCCTACCTGATCTTACAGCTGATTGGAAGCTGATTGGGCTCAGCGATATGACTTTGATTTAGAAGGTTTATTCTGTATGTGTTGATGGTCACATTGGGTATGTGTGTAGTCTGTTGTATGTCTGCATTAGATTAATTTAAATCTCAAGGTATTTAACAACACAAAAACATCTGGTGAAGGATATGAGAATAAAATAACATCTGTGACAGTCTGAATATCAAACAGATCACTAATAAAAGCTGTTGTCTTGTACTTCTTTCTGCTGTATTTGACTATCTGTCAGTGTTTACAATTTATTTATGTGGTGTGAGCAGGACAGGCCTGCTCAGCTGATTTATATACAGCAGCAAACTGATCTGATACCAATTTAATTAAGAATTCATGTAAATTGGAGGCTGAAACATGAACAGAGATCACAGATCACCTGAACAGCATTTTAATAGGCTATCCTGTAATAATTAATAATTAAAAACTATTGGAGACTGCCTACAAACTGATTTATGGATCTGATGACGTTTTAATAAATCATGTTTCTGTATCTTCCTGGACAGACTTAAGGCCGCTGCAAACTGTCCGTGTGGACTGATCACTTCTACCTCCACCCAGTTGTAGGTAAGACCCAATTTATCTCAAACTAACCTGTACTTATGAACACGATATGGAGGAATGCTTTGAGACTACCAGCTAAGTGAAGGATGTGGTTTTGGTGTTCACTCAACATTCACCTTACTGCATGATTTGGATCATGCAAAGGCAGATGTTGTTGTTGTTTCCTATAGAGGAGAAAATAGTAACACACTGATAATACACCCAGATCCTACATACGGTGAGTCAGACTAACTGATGGGTAAAAGCATAAATATAAGCCGGATTCGTTGCTTACATCTATTGTCAAACAGGTGTTGTATATTTGAATAATTTTCTTACACACACAGTGATTCTAGTTTTCGTGGAATCAGGCGCTCTGACTTTCCAACAAAGACTTTGGTGAGTACACATCTATTACAACCAATAAACTAGTGGCCAGAGCTTTACAAGGACCCAGTTTATATTGAACTGTAGTATTACTTTAGGGTTGATTCATGTCATGTTTCCTCACTGTCAACATGTACAGGAATATTGGAACTTAAAATTTGATATTTTTATTGCTCCAAGCCTCCATCAAAGAAGCCTCGTGCAATACATCCATCAGACAAAGGTGGAAATGAATTATAAAGTTCAGCTGAAGGTAATATGTCAAATTAAATCAGGTGCAGTTACAGTCCATGTATGACTGTGTCTGTAGCACAACTCATAAGGAAGCAAGATGGAGTCTTAATTTAATTAAATTTTATTTTATTGATTAAGAAACTTTAGAAAATATGCATTTGATTTGTTTTGTGTTTTAAGGTAAGCTTGAAAAAAGAAGCCAATTATCTTTCAAAATAAATGTAATAATAAATTAATTCAAACAAAATGCTTCAGTGAGTTTTTGAACGTTGTGTTGTTGTATGTTTTAACATGTTTAACTGTTTATTAGATAAAACAGTTTCTAAGAGGAACTTATCCAGCAGCAGATTAATCAATAATGAAAAGAGCAGCCCAGCTTTGTATTAAACATACATCAACATTAAAATGTGTTTTCTCAGTTTTTCATTTGATAGTCATTCATAGATATTGAACAGATATTTAGATATTGAACGTAGACTGTCTGAAACATGCGTTTTAAAAATAACGCATGTAACACTGAAGACACACGCATTACAGCAGCAGGCCAGAGGGTGGCAGTGTGTGCAATGAAATCAGAACATGTTGGACCTGCAGGCAAGGTGTGTGATTACAGATGCAATCAGAGGTGTCTTGTACTTTTCATGGATTATGCAAGAGTCTGTAATATTTGCCAAGGCTCTGTGGGTTGAGTATATAAATATAAATTGTTGAATGAAAAGCCAGCAGTGATGAAGTCTGAGCGCCGATGAAGATGACGGGTAGAAGGGAGAGATGAGAGTGATGATGAGAAGTGAAGCTGCGCAACTTTTTTGGGTGAATGTACAGTAAAGCTGTGTGTGTGTGTGTGTGTGTGTGTGTGTGTGTGTGTGTGTATGGGTGTGTGTGTGTGTGTGTGTGTGTGTGAGAGAAGGGAAACAGGACAGATACTTGTGTGTTAATGTGTGTGTAGCCAGACATGAGGGAGTTAGTCATGCCTCAGGTATCTTGGTGGAAAACAAGCAGCCCGGCCTCATTTCCTCTGGGAGGGCAGTTCAAACATTCTGCTCAGCTAAGTGACGCTGCTGTGACATACCTGTACATCATCCCTCTCTGCTCTCTCCTTGCCATGTTTGGCAGGCAGAATAATGCTGCCTCACTGATAGCAACCTGTGGTTGACCTGGTTTCAGACTCCCGCAGAGGCTGGCTTACTTTCATCCCAAACTGGGCTGCAGCTCCACTCAATATTTAACTGGAGGAATCAATATGGGCTGACGGTGTTGAATGGTGAGCAGTCAAGCATAGTCTATAGTCTGAATGCGGAGTGGGTCAGTTTATTTATTCCAGTTGATGTACTCCAACACTATACTATCAGCTCTATTTATGTCTTCAAATCAGGATTTATGCTAAATACATGATGTAATCAGGCTGCAAACAGCCTTTAATTTGATGTTTCTATCTTGGACTGATACTGATTTTTCCTGAACTGAAGCTGCACATACTTATTGCTTTTCTCTTGCAGTTTCTCAACCTAAATTTGAGGCACTCCAAGTGGCCACAAGATTAATCTGAAGGGTCCCGAAGTCAAAAAACTGGCATTTCTTCATGAAATTTACCCTAATATGATTTTAAAGGTATTCGTATAAATCAGTGGTAGCCATGCAGCTAATGCCTCCTTTTTTAAAAGGACATCGGTTAGATTGCTTTTAAGTTTAAGTTTGATATTTATTGTACACTGTCACTGTCAATACTGAGGGAAATACTAAAACCCAACGTTTCATATTTTACTTACTGCAAACTTCCATCAAAGTGAAATATTCTGCATGTCTACTGCAACACGTTTCTCAAATAAAATCCACAGTCGTCAGAAAAGAGAAAATGAATTTGAAATAATTCAAGTTACACTGTTGATTGTACAGAATTCCTTGATTTTGTGACCGTTGCTCCACTACAGCTCAATGAAGGACCACCACTGGAAGATAATCCTCATACTACTTCTACTACTTTTAAAACTAATACTACTACTACTAATAATAATAATACCATCATGCTGTGGTTGAGCTTATGTGCACATGCTTATATAAAGCTTACATGCAACATGTCATCCAGAGTGTCACATATTGCTTAGGAAGCAGTGCTTTCATGTCCTTTCTCTGTAAGTTGCAGCCTCATCTTGTCCTTCTTTGCTGCCCTCTTCACCCTCCCCTCACTAAATGCCCAGCACTTTGCCCACCTCCCGAGATGAGACAGATGGCGCTGAGGAGGCCTGTCTCCGTGTCGTCCATCTCGATGGGCAGCAGCTGGTTGGCAAAAGTGAACACCAAGTCGGTGAGCGGGCCGAAGCCAGCGTTGTGCATCTGCGTCCGGTTGAGGGTCAGGCCGTCTGAGAAAGTCATGGTGTCCTGGTCGGGGGTGTACCTCGTACAGATGCGCAGGATCTGACAGAGAGAGAAGGAAGGCATTAAGACAATCAGTCAGCAGGATTTGTTAGACAGAACACTGTAAGTGAAATACAGCAGGGGGTTGTTTTATGAAGGATTGGCTTTAAACATTTTTAGGTTGACCAGTTTTTATTGCAAAAGTTGACACAGATTGAAGGTTTACCTCAGACTTTTATTCTTGTCAGGATAAAAATGGTCTTCAGAAAGCATTAGATCACATTTTGGACACTAAAATACCAGGCTGTGTCCCAAATCACTCCTTATTCACTACATAGAGCACTATAATTACGGTCTGCCGTTTTATCTGAGTGTGCACATTTATCCGCTGCATCGTGCTTTAAAAACTCTACAATGGAATGAAGAGTCCATGACATGTACACTGCTGTTTAAATGATTAGCACGTGTCCTAAATCACAATTTACTGCTCACTTTCAAGTGCCTGCTATATAAGGTGTAAGGAATGATTGTGATTTCAGGTGAAGCTCCAGAGTCATTTCAGTATAACAATCCTCAGTCATTCATTGTATGACAGGATACGAGACATGTTTTGCCTCATATGATGGTCAACGTGTTACATTCAGTGGTAACAGAATCAGAAATTCTCTCGCTCAGAGCATAGACTTCATTTAAAAGATGGACGTAGCCACCATGACATCACCCATCAGTCTAGAAACTACTGTTCTGAAGGTTTGAGTTTGGTGTTTTGCTCATTGCCAACTTGGGTTCTTTTGAAACTGGTTCTAACTGAGAACTACCCATACGGTAGCGACCTGTCAATCACAGGGTAGCCCCGCCCAACAACATACCCTGCTTTGTGAAAAGTGAAACCAAAATGTACACGGTGAACATCAGGCTATGCTGGAGGAGGAATCATTTCTAGATATTTCTAAATATCTTGCAAGACTCTCAGACTGTCGAGGTATTTTTTGTAGTTCTGTAGATCTTGTCTTGATGACACCATACATGGTAAAATCAAAGAAAACAGCAGCGCCAGGATGTCACAGGTTTAAATAAGACAAGTTCCATCTGAGGAGGTTTTGATGTTTAGGACTAAATCTGTAAGCCCTGGTTGTAATTGGACGGATCTGAAGGTGTGACGAATGGAGGGCTTTTATTAACATACACCTTCAAATAGGATCAAAAACAAACAGTTTCCACAGGATGTACATTTGTCACACATGATTGTAAAAGGAGAGCAAATATTGAACTTAGATTTGTGACCAGAGACACATGTCCATGTTGTTTTGTGGTGTGCTGAAGTGATCACGTTCACTGATGCAGCTTTAAAGTGAGAACATACGATCTGCTGAAGAATCAAGTAGATGCAAAATGCACATGGAATAACTGGAGTGCAGGTTCAGCAACCTAATACCTCTAATGCCTCATTTTATACGCATACACAAGACACATCGGTGGAATCCTACATAAACAGAAGAGTAACGAGCACACTCGATGTCAGGAGTGTGCAGCAGGTCCAGCAAGTTTCCCCACACACAGCAGCAGAGACAACAACCAAAACAATGACCTTCCACACACTCAAAGAGAATAACCTTTGGGTCTCCCTGCTGCATTGCACATGTGTGTTTGTGTGTGTGTACACCTAATGAAGCAACTGATGGTGGATGTGAAGCCTACAGCTGCCTTTGAAGCTATTTGAGTGGGCTGGCTCTGACAGTGAGTGGCAGGCGTGTCTGCAACATGAAACAGAATAAAACATGGCTACTGGCGGTGACTCGCACCGGCTGGCCAGGCCTGCGCTTAGACACACACACACACACACACACACACACACACACACACACACACGCATTTACACACACATATACACACATAGTGTTTGATCTTTTCTCTGACACTCCCTCACCCAGCCCTTGTGCACAATATCTACGCCCTTCACCATAAAAATGTGCTGGTGAGCCGATGTTGATGGCTGAGCGAGAGCCAGAAAGTCATCACAGTCGGCCTTCAACTTCTCACCTCTGTGTCCCTGGGAGTTCACTCCACTGCTTTGTCACATCTGACAAGTATGACTTGGTCAATACAAACTCCCAAACGACAGTGCCACTGAAACTGAACCCTTTAAAAAACATATACACACGGAATAATAAATACTGTATATGCAGCCAACTGGTCCTCATTTTCATCAGCATTCATTTACCCGCGTTGTGTCTGGATCTGATTTAGCTCATTTGCATTTACACTTCACATTAATATGCACCTTCATGCATTAATCATCGATTTTACATTCTCTCCTCAAAGTACGACCATCCCATATGTCAGCCGCTGTGTTGTACTTGGTGCCCTTTAAAGGCACATATCCCAGCCTGCAGACAGAACTCAGGACGCCACTTTCTTCATGTTTATAATTAATCATTAATGTGTTGATCAATGGTCATGTATGTGTGTATGCAGGCTGGTTTATGCAGATGTGTATGTAATGAAGTGTGTCTGTGTAGATGGTCACTGTGGCCACATTAGGCCACGATACAGTCATAATTCTGGCCATGACTTGGCCAAGTCACAGCACAGGAGGCAAGAAGGACTTTAGAAATAAATGATTGTCTGTCCTTCAGCCCATTTGTCTCTTTTTATCATAATGATATCAGGAGATGTTACAAATATAAAACCTCCTTGGATTAAATCATTGAAGGACTCTAAACTGATCTCTTTTGAGGTTGTGGTTTTACTCGTCCCTCCTTTGAGATTTTTTTCCCGTTACAATACCACAAGTGACCACCAGGAACGATTCGTAGCCAACATGAGTTGCAGTGCTGCATCCAGCTCTATTAATAATTCTGATATTGGGGTCAGGCCAGAGGTAGGACCTCTTAGTGACGTTTCCACCTTTCCATCACTCTGGGTACAAATGACAACAGCGCCAACTTCTGCATCTTGTGTCCTTTGCAGGCGGATAACGTGCCGATGTGTTGCGGCTCTTTATACAGGCTACAATGACAAAAACACCTGAAACAACATAAAACACGTCCACGTCTCCCACAGACAGCCACCTTCAGAGACATTCTGAGATCCTGGATAATCTAATAACAATAAAGTGACTTCTACCAGCACTGAGAGTTAAATGCTGAATTTCAGTCCAGGTCACAAAGTAAAACACAGAACAATCCTGCCATCACTTTCTTTCCACTTTCTCTTCCTTCCTCTCCCTGTGAGCAATGAATGCTAATCAAATCACAGTCTCCCCAACACCCCACGCCTCCTCCCTCCCCGAAACACCACAACAGCCGAGCACGCATGATAGAGACAGAAGAGGAAGAGAGACAGCCATTTGCCTTTTTCCATCTCATTACTGCGGCTACATTAGTACAGTACATCGCTCCACTTAACAACTCCTAAATAACAAACAAACATTGAGCCGCCGGCAGCCTGCAGACATTTCCGCATCTGTACTCCATAAAGAACACACTGCATCATTAACAAATGCAGTGCGACTGACTGCCCAATGTTAGAAAAAAAACTCCTAAAAAAAGATTAGAGGCTGAGAAATGTGTGTCTGTGTGTAATCTAATCTTGGCTACAGACAGCTACTCCGCATGATGAATTGAATTGACTGAAATGATCAATTAATCGGATCTTTCTGAATCCCACTGGCCAGCTGAGTAGGTCATCCAATAAGGTATGAGGACCGTTCTAATGGAAGCCAGGCTGGAGGTTAAACCCACCAATCCCCCGGAGATCTGAGGCTAATGACTCACCACACAGTTTAAAGGAATGAATGGATTCTTACACGCTGAGGAACAACAGGGAAATTAGAAAATAAATACTCAAATATACTCAAGTAGACACCTCACTGTCTGGTGAAGAGCCGTGTTTATGTAACTCTGTTACGTCACTGCTGTGAATAGTTCAGGGAAGGTTTTTAGCTTATTGCTGAATATTTTAGGAGGGCTTAGACTCTCTGGTGAAAAAGCATCGAGACTTTGCATTTTGGAGTGACCCTATTAAAGGAAAACTGGTTCACAGCATGATGACTAATGTAAGCAAAGGAGGGAAAGTGACAGAAATTCACAAACCTGGAATAATGTCAACATGTCTTTTTTAAAATAGATGTATTGATTCAAAATGATTGAAACATTTTGGAAATCTGTGGTGCAGATACGCCCACATTTCTTGATAACAGATGCCAAATTTTGTTTTTTTTGTACCTTTAATGAAAAGAATGTTAGAGATGTTCATAACTACATTTTAAAAGTAGCTATGTCTTTGTTTGTTGTTTTGTTTGTTTACTACATATGCAGAAGAGAGGGTATTCTAGTCCATCACCACTGGCCTGGCTGCCCGGTCTGCTTTCTTGCCTGTCAGTGGCTCCTGAGGAGGGGTTCATTATGCCAGCAGAGGAGTTAACCAGCATGCTCTCTGGCAAGTTAGCTGACAAGCACGCTCTCACCTCTCATGCAGGGAGATAACACTAGCCAGCAGCGTGGAGTTCCTGACAGTCCAGAAGACAACGGCAGCTCTCCTCAGCAGCCTCCTCATCTGCACTGACGATACCAGGGTGCTACGAGCATCTCCCTGACCGCTGGCTGCTCCACGGCGGCTGCTCCACGCCGGCTCTATGCCTGCCTCCTGCCTCATGTGGGGCTGGGGCGGGGCAGTGCAGTGCAAGTTTTCCACTGTGAATAAAGGGTGCTGCCCTAAACCTTACAGCTGCCTGCAGAGGGTTATTCCTGCATGCACAGTCACACAGATGTGAGCTCAGATGTTAGCTCCATAGGCTAAGCAGAGGGGGAGAACAGTATACAACAGTACTTACTCCTCCTCAATCAGTTGCCTCTTTTCTGCGTCTCACACAACTATGTCACAAACAAAGTATTATTAAATCATTTATATGTTGACAGGCAACACAGCGGTGAGCACTTGGTGATTCTAAATTTTAGGTGTGACTGTGTTTGGTTGTCTCTGTGTAGCCCTGCGATAGACTGGTGACCTGTCCAGCTGTACCCTGCTTTCACCCTGAGTCAGCTGGGATGGACTCCAGCGGTGCAGACATGATGGATGGACAGTGTGTTCGCCCTGATATCATGTGTAACATGGGGATGGCCAGAACGTCTGAAGATCTACAGCTGAGTGGCACAACACATCTGGCATCAGCTTGGCTGGCCTGTAGTTGGCAGGGAGACTGCTCAGTGCCTGCTTTAGTTCTTGAAAGCAGCCCCCATGCTCTTTGTGGTGGAAGTCTTCGATCATCATCAGCCCTGCAAACCTAAACCCTGCACATTCAAAATCCTGGTGAAAAACATTACTATCAGCCATTCTGTCTCCAGCATGCTAGAAACATCTGTGCTAAAGTTGCTTCAACAGAAGAACTAGTTCCTACACAACATGTTTGCTTGTCCAAACTACAAGAACCATCCCTCACCAGAATGTCCAGGCAGGCAGCTTTCAGGAGCGTGATCTGGTCCGCGATGGTCAGCCCCGTGAAGCCAGGCACTCGTTTGGCAAACTCCACGATCTTGATAATGCACTTAGTGGCCAGCTCGCTGAACTTGTCCCACAGGCCCAGGTCCAGCCTCACACGGTGGTCTGCACTCGAGTTCTGCAACACACACATGCATACAAACACACACAAACAGAGAACAAGGCATCAGGCGAAGAGGCAGCTGCTTTTGTCATTGCACAGACTGTTGCTAATGATCTCCTCAGTGCACCCTCTTCACTCTGCTCTATATGTGTCACACTTACATACAGTAAATAGGCTCCATAAGACCCAAGCTCTCAAAAACACTGGCAGGATTGTTGTTGTGAATACGCTGAGCTGAGCCGGGTGGCCAGGCCCTGCGATAATGAGCGTAACAGTGTCAGTGGGATGCTTTGGCAATGATGGGATGCAGAAACAGAGCAGTGACAGGTAGTGCTGAGTGGTTTGAAGCCAGAGGTGCCATTAATACAGATATATAGTCCAGAACCTACACAAACACGAGAGGGGAGCAGGGATGGGTGGAAGCCACAGAGCAATAAAGACAGTGTTCAGAAAGAGGAAAAAGTGGAAGTAAAAGTGCTGTAAGGCACCAGAGAGAGGAAAGAAAGAGAGGAAATGACAGATGAAAGGGAGGAAAGTTAAGTATGTGAGAGCAGTGAGACAATGTAGGAGGAGGGAGGCAAGAGGAGTGCTTGGAGACTGTCTCATGGGAGGTGATGGGTAAGCCAAGGTGAGGCTGATGCATGAGTTTGTTGATTTACGGGGCCGATACCGGCTTTGACTAAAGATCATTTGACAGCAGGTGTCACGCACCTCTGATATGTTTTGTTGTGGTTATTATTTTATAAAGGAATCAGCCTGCAACTTTAAACAGCATTATTTTAAAGAGATAATACTGGTTTATTCTAGTTTTCTTTTTTTGTGCTTCCTGTCAGTGAGACTAAACATGAGCTCCACCATATGATCAGTAAAGCTAACAGTGTACTCACATAAGTAACTACTGAAGGGAACATAACAGCGTTGTTACGACAAAGTCAAGTGGGGCAACAAAGTACTTTAAACAGATCATCTGTGCTTTTTAGGTAAAACTGAGAGAGCACCTGAGATGTTGGGTAATAACTGAAGGGGTGTAGAAAGTCCATCTATAAAGTGAGATGGGTGATTACAACAGACTTTTTGGAGCTCTGCTATCTCACCTGCACTCAACAACTTGTCAGATTGTGTGTTTTTTTTGTTGTGTTTGTTGTGTTACAGCTCGGCTTTGTGTGCATCCACATGTTGGCAATAAAATAAATGATTGATTTACTTTACATTGTCATACGTCGTATCTTTAAATGTTTGTGTGTCTAACAAACACAAATCATTGTGTGGCTGCATGAAGCATGGTCTCCAACAAAGAAAAAACATCAATATGTACTTGCCAAAGACAACCTTAATACTCCATAACACTGGTGGAGAAATGTTTTTGGATCAATAAGGAGGATCGCACTGCATATGGTGTAAAAAGGGCACTGCGTACTAATAACTGCATCCCAGACGTGAAGCACAGCGGAGGCAGCATCCCCATCATGTGATCCTAAATATCTGTCTGAGCTGCTCCCAAACTCCTCCTGAACATTGTGCAGGTTTGATGTGCAGCCACCAGAAACACATGGTTGAGGTTGCTGCTGCCAAACGAGGTTTGATCAGTGATTAAAGCAAGAGTTTACCTCCCCTGTCCATCAGCACTGGCCATGTTTAATGTTCAATAAAGACACAAATCATAAATATGTATGTACATCCTGTGTCTATAGCTGTGACTCGAAAATCTCTTAATAAATATTATAATAATGATAGATGTCTTCAGTCTGATTGGCGGGGTTTCTAACACATCTGATGGAATAGTAATATTTAATCTTTTCCATTTCAATTATGGTTGTAACACTGAAACACAAGTTAACATAAACGAGGATTATCTGTTAATTACATGCTGTTTTTCGTTGGTACCTCGCAGACATCCTATCATTAGAACAGACAAATACTGTATCAGCATTACAAAAATACCAGCGTATCAGTATTCCTCTTCACTTGTTAGAAACTTTCCCAAAAGAAGCTGCAGTCGATGTCGAGATTTTCTTTGTCTGTCTTTCTGTTGTGTGCCTCCAGAATCTCCAGTCGTCTACCAGAGTTATGTTCCTGTTTTAAGCCTCTTGTTAGCTGTCAGAGAAAAAAGTTCAGCAACTGTTTACTGTGAACTAATGATGATCTGTCCATTATATGGCAATTAATCAAAAACACCTCGTCGTTTAGTCTTAGATCATAAAGGTGTTGTAATAAAAAGATCGATTATCTGGTCAGGTATTTAATATTCTATCTAAATTTCCTTCCCAGTTGAAGCCTGGTGAAGGTAGAAAGCCTGAGATACAGCAGTCCGACCGTGACGGAGCGCTAAAACTCTCCAGCAATAACTCAGACTAATGAAATTCTTCCAATTCTGGACTCAAACGGATACATCAGCTTCACCTTATTTTCAACAACATGCTTCTGAGTGAACACTGAACAGAGCTATTCAGAGTTTGCCATAACAGGAAACAGCCAGGAGGAGACGAGGAAAGAAGGGAATGAGAAAGAGAGAGAGAGAGAGAGAGAGAAGGCCATCAGAGCAGAAGATAGCAGGATCCAGGCAGACAGAGAAGAAATGAGCAGCAGTTGGGGAATTGTTGGGGTGTAAGTGGGGGAAAGTCGTGTTGTGCTGGCTGATGGTGAGGACGGAGCATCTGATGATCATTTGTTTGTTTTCTGATGGTTTACAGTGAAATAGCCCATCTGTCCTGCATGAGTGAGTCTCCACATGTAGCAAGGACGCAGCACTGATAGACACAAACACACCGAGCAGGTCTTTGCACCGTCTACTGTGAGCACTGGTTGGACACCAGAAAAAGAAACAGACTCTGAAACCTGTGAAATGTAGTTTTCTGACTTTATGGTAATCTCAGTATGATCAACATTACAAGAGAGATAACGTTTCTACCTGCAGTGTTTAGGATTTTAACAACACACTGGGTCCTATTCCTGCTGCTTTAGATGTTTTACTGTAAGTCTGATAAAAATTCTTTGACGTATTTGAAATATTGAAAAATTATCTCAAATTTGAGGTATTTGAGTATTTGAATTTTTTTAAGCACTAGGCTTTGACAGTATGTGAGGTACAGTGATGTTACACAGAAAAACAATGTTGAGGAATGTCTTATGTGTAATATCACACAGTTTGAATGCCATAAATCTTTTAAAAAATAATTTTTTCTTTGACTATTTATTCATCAACAATTGAAAAAAAAAAAAAACACTTTTGAAATTTTATTTTATTTTATTTTATTTTATTTATTTATTCATTTATTTTACCATAGTTGTGACCAATACGGGAAAATGGCTCCACATGTAATATGTGTCTATTTACATTTTACCTCTACAAAATATGCACTAAAAAGATTTCACAATGGCATATTTAATAATATAATATAATAATATTATATATAATATATATATATTTAGGGCTGCAAGGTGGCGCAGTTGGTAGCACTGTTGCCTCGCAGCAAGAAGGTTGCCGGTTCGCGTCCCGGTGGGGGCACCGGAATCTTTCTGCGTGGAGTTTGCATGTTCTCCCCGTGCAGCGTGGGTTCTCTCCGGGTTCTCCGGCTTCCTCCCACACAGTCCAAAAACATGTTGAGGTTAATTGGTGATTGTAAATTGTCCGTAGGTGTGAATGTGAGTGTGCTTGGTTGTCTGTCTCTAAGTGTAGCCCTGTGATAGACTGGTTACCTGTCCAGGTGAACCTGCCTTCACCCTAAGTCGGCTGGGATAGACTCCAGCCCCCCCGCGACCCTAATGAGGATTAAGCGGTGTATAGAAATTGGATGGATGGATGAATGGATATATATATATTTAATACATAAAATACTTTATTTATCATTTCACTTCATATGTATCTTCCAACATCTTGCTCTGTGTACTTTTTTTTTTTCTTCTAGCCATGCTGTATTTACTTTTATTGATTTTATTTTACTCTTAAACTCTGTAATGTGCTTCCATCTTTGTTCAGATTTTGGTTGCTGGTTATTTTTTCAGAATCTGGTGCAAACAGAAACTGTAAAAGCAGTTTTTTTCAGTTTGTTCAGTTTCTGGCTCTGACAAATTGTCATTTCGGCCACTTTGTGTGACGAAATGTGTGAACATGTGCACTTTGCAAAGGAACGCAGGACACCCATGTTGTCATGACAAACACATTAAATAATAAGGTGAGTGTGTCAGGACTTTTATAGTGACTCTAAATATTTTCTGATGCTACAACACATTTAGCTAAAAATGCAAACATTGTGAAACATACTGATGCTACATAAATGACACTCATAAATGTGAATGTACATGGCATCTGTAGATCCAGAAGGAGAGCTCTTTTACATCTAGGACTCTGAAAGACTCAGTTACAAGCTCTAGAAGAAGTTTATGAGTGGAGTGTAGGTCATTTTCTCTAGGATCTACTAACATATCAGTATCAGTAAATATTAGTTTTACACTATATTTTACACTATGAGGAGAATATTTTGCAGTGTAGACAAACCTGCCAGTGCTCTCTAGTGGACAAACTTTGTAGTGACGCCTCTAAATACCTCAAAAATATCTTTCACATTTTTTTTAATTCATTTTTTAAGCACAATTAATTGTTAGATATCAGCCAATGCAACATATAAACAGACACCGACTGGCAATACAAATATTGTACTATATAAGCAATGATCATGTATCAGTCTGGTACTGAAACTACTGTGTGCTTTTATTATCTTTTCTATTTCTATAATTTTTTCTAATAGTTGTTTTTCTGCTTCCCCACGTTTTGATTTCCCCATTGCATAACAGCTTTAGCACACAAACACGCAGCACACAACTGTATAAAAAGTGCTCTTGACAGCATCAAATGTTTTGTGGCGTGGCCTCGGCCTGCACAAACCCTGTGATGTGTGGAGTGTGCACAGTATGATTCACAGGCCTCAGGAGACGTGGAAACAAAGCCTTCGTGCTGCTGTAATTGACTGTTGCGTAGCCTTTCTTTATTTGCTGATCATAAATGCAACTGCAAAGAG